GAAATTTCCCAGATACCCAGGCATTTGGGAAATTTCCCAGATACCCAGGCATTTGGGAAATTCCTATTTTTGACATTTTTGATAATTGCTGTCACTCCCTCATTTTATCACATTGTAATTTCTATATCATCAGAAAACATTGATATTTTATTAAAGTTTGCAGACGATACTAAATTGGAGCATAATGCAAGTACTGTAGAAGAATGTGAAAAAACTCAGGAATATCTAAATAAATTAATAAATTGGAACAGTTGGAATATGAGCTTCAATATTTCCAAATGCAAAGTACTTCATGTTGAACCATATATAAACAATGAATGGTACACCCCAGTAGAATGGGATCTGGGTGTTAAAATTTCATTAAATCTGAAAACCTCCACCCAGTGTATTGAGGCTGCTAGAAGAGCTGGGGCAGTTTTGACCCAAATAATTTATACAGAGACAAGCGTACATTCCCCAAACTGTACAAATAATTTTGTTCAGATATTACAGGATTGGGTAGCAACATATTCACACTGATCACAGGGATATCTCACTCCTCAATATTTATTCAATAATATCTTATAATGCTTCATGCTTAGATTTAATATATTTCTTTAAATACCATACTGAGGTAGAAGTAAGATTTCTTGCGAACAGGGATATTTAACTCCTTTATGTCTACTTTCAATGTGTCTTTTGAGATTATTTGATGTAGGAGCAACATAAGTACACTGATTGCATGGATATCTTACTCCTTCATGTTTATTTTTAATATGACTCTTCAGATTATCTGCTGTAGTGGCAGCGTATTCACACTGATCACATGGATACCTCACTCCTTCGTGTTTATTTTGAATATGTTTCTTCAGATTATTTTGGTCAGTTGCAGCGTGTTTACATTGATCGCAAGGATATCTCACTCCTTCATGTTTAGATTCAATGTGTAATTTCAGGTGCTGTACACCAGTGGCAACATAGTCACACTGATCACAGGGATATCTCACTCCTTCATGTTTATTTCTCATATGTTTCTTCAAATACCCTACTGAGTTAGAGGTAAAATCACACTGCTCACAGGGATATCTTACTTCTTCATGTTTATTTTCAATATGTATCTTCAGATACCCTATTGAGCTAGAGGTAAAATCACACTGCTTACAGGGATATCTTACTCCTTCATGTTTGGATTCAATGTGTAACTTCAGACTTTTTACACCTGTAGAGACGTATTCACACTGTTCACATGGATATCTCACTCTTTCATGTTTAATATCAATATGTGTCTTCAGATTACTTGCTGTAGTGGCAGCGTGATCACATTGGCAGCATGGATATCTCACTCCTGTATGTTTAGATTCAATTTGTGTTTTTAAACGACCTGCTGTAGTGGCAGCGTACTCGCATTGATCGCATGGATATCGTATTCCTTCATGTTTAGATTCAATATGTATCTTCAGAGAACCTGCTTGAGTGGCAGCGTATTCACAGTGAATACAAGGATATCTCACGCCTTCATGTTTACTTCTAATATGCTGAATCTGTCCTTGTTAGGCTTTTTTGTCTAATATTCTCTCCGACCTAAAATCTTGAAAACAATAATAATATATCGGCAATAAAATATTTATATATTAAAATACCTGTTTTCAGCCAAACACCCCCCCCCCTCTCTACGCCCCAGATCAAGAAAAAAAAAATTCTGTGTCTTATGGATAAAAGAATATAGGTGCAAAATTAGCACCATTTATCTCTATTATTACAAGAGTTATTACAAACTCCAGGACACTGAAGAGGTCTTTTGATCTTAAATTTTCAATAAAAAAAATAAAAGTGGAAAAAGGAAATGGCCGTGAAGCACCCAGAAAGTCTGGTCTATCATGAACGGTTTAACTATGCCAGTATATTAGCTAACCCCACTATTCCTCCGGCTCAAAAATTACGTCTATGTACATTGAATCGCACTCCAAAATGATTTCATGTTCGTGATAATTAAATCTTGGACATTTAGTTTTGTTTTCTCATGTTTACTTTTAACATGAGTTTCCAGATATGAATGTGAATCTTTAAAGCATGAGTTTTAAAAGTTGAAAAAGGAGATGGGCGTGAAGCGCCCTAAATCCCCTGAAAGCCTAGTCTACCATTTTTAAGTATAAACGGTATTATTATGCTAGTATATAAGCTACACCCACTTTTTCTCTGGCTCACAAATTACGTCTATGTGCAAGCATATCCTTGATTAAATCGCACCCCAAAAGGAGAAACTTTTTAAAATGATTTCATATTTGTAATGATTATATCTTCAACATTTAGTTTTGTTTAAAGATATAATTTGTCAAAGAATAATCTGCAAAAATTTTGAAATGATAAAAATATTATTTAATTAATTATTTATGATAAGGGAACCAGGAAACACAGTTGAGTTTTCCTTTGAAAAATATACAATCAGAAAAAGATTAGTACAATAAATTCTACAATAACAGATTTATTTAACTTGAATTTTACGGTGTAAAGCCATTCATACTTAGTATGATACATTTTTATGCAATTTTTAGTTACAGGATAGGGTTACAACATATTTACAATCATCACATGGATATCTCTTCACTGCTCAAAGTTCATTTTCTTTGTTTTTCATTAGATTTCCTGCTTTTGTGGCAGTGAGGTCTTACTAATCTTATTCCTTTATGTTTAGATTTAATATGTTACTTCAAATACGATACTGAGGTAGAGGTAAGATTTCTCTAATAACAGGAATATTTTACTCCTTTATGTCTGCTTTCAATGTGTCTTTTCAGATTACTTGATTTAGTCCCAAGATATTCACACTGATTGCAAAATTTAAAAAAAAATTTCCAATCAAAATTCGATTTTTATTAAATTTTGGAAAACCACGAAATTTTTTTATAAAATCACAGAACTTTTTTATTTTTGTTTCACAGTGTAAATTGAATACAAAGAGAAAATGTTCACAATAAAAATAGAAGATGGGCGCGAAGGGCCCCGAAAATCTAGTATTTTATGTATAAAAGGAGTGATTCATTTTTACCATTCCACTCCCTCCCATGTGCACAGTATAATTATTATCATCTAACAAAATTCTATTCTATTTATATGCATCTTATTTAAACAACATGTACACTAGATGACTTCTTCAGGAGTTGATATTGCCAACCAGCTTCTATATATAATTAAAAGGAATAAAAGGCTAGTACTGCAAACAAAGATTTACATTGATTATAATTCAATCTTTATCAATCTATATATTTTACTTGTCTGTTGGTATCCAAAAACCGTCAAAATGGCAACACAAATTTTGTGGGACCTCACATGACCCCTGGGAAGATTTACAGATGGTAAGAATTAAAAAAATTTGTCTCCAAAATTTTTTGATTTTTGTTAAACTTTGAAAATTCACAAAAAATATGATGAAATCCGCGAACTTCTTTTTCTTTAGTTTTCAATTTTACCAAGAGAAAATTTTTGCCCAGAGAGCCACAGTTAAAAGTTGAAAAAGGAGATGGGCGTGAAGCGCCCTGAAAGCCTAGTCTACCATATTTAAGTATAAACGGTTTAACTATGGTAGTAAATAAGCTACACCCACTTTTTCTCCGGCTCACAAATTGCCTCTATGTGATATCCTTGATTAAATCGCACCCCAAAAGGCGAAACTTTTTAAAACTATTTCATATTTGTGATAACTATATCTTCAACATTTAGTTTTGATCAAAGATATAATTTGTAAAAGAATAATCTTCTGCAAAAATGTTAAAATCATAAAAATATTATTTAATTAATAAGAATGATGAGGGAACCATGGAACACAGTTGGGGTTTCCTATGAAACATTTACAATCAGAAAAAGATAAATACAATAAATTCTACAATAATAGAATTATTTAACTTAAATTTTACAGTGCAAAGCCATTCATACTTAATATGATACGTTTTTTTTTGCATTTTTTAGTTACAGGATAAGGTTACAACATATTTACACTCATCACAAGGATATCTCTTCACTGATGCTCAAAGTTCATTTTCTTTGTTTTTCATTAGATTTCCTGCTTTTGTGGCAGTGAGGTCTTACTAATCTTATTCCTTTATGTTTAGATTTAATATGTTACTTCAAATACGATACTGAGGTAGAGGTAAGATTTCTCTAATAACAGGAATATTTTACTCCTTTATGTCTGCTTTCAATGTGTCTTTTCAGATTACTTGATTTAGTCCCAAGATATTCACACTGATTGCAAAATTTAAAAAAAAATTTCCATCAAAATTCGATTTTTATTAAATTTTGGAAAACCACAAAAATTTTTTATAAAATCACAGAACTTTTTTATTTTTGTTTTACAGTGTAAATCTAACAAAATTATGAATGTGAATCTTTAAACCATGAGTTCGAATTGTAGTATTATCACATTGATTACAAAAATATTTGCATGATATTTGTTAAATAAAATTTATATAAAACATTCATTATTTCATATTATGTTCAAAGATATAATTTGTCAAAGAATAATTTTCTGCAAAAATGTTGAAATGATAAAAACATTATTTGAGAAATTAACAATGAAGAGGGAACCAGGGAATACAGTTAGGTTTTCCTATGGAAAACATACAATCAGAAAAAAGATTAATATAATAAATTCTACAATAATAGAATTATTTAACTTGAATTTTACAGTGCAAAGTCAGTAATACTTAATATGATAAGTTTTTATGCATTTTTTAGTGACAGGATAGGGTTACAACATATTTACAATCATCACAGGGATATCTTACTCCTTCATGTTTATTTTTAATATGAATCTTCAGACTACTTGCTGTAATGGCAACGTATTCACAATGAGAACAAGGATATCCCACTACTTCCTGCTTATTTTCAATATGTTTCTTCCGATCACCTGCTTGAGTAGCAGCGTACTCGCATGGCTACACAAATTTTGTGGGACCTCACATGACCCCTGGGAAGATTTACGGATTGCTATAATTAAAAAATTTGTATTCAAATGTTTTTGATTTTTGTTAAACTTTGAGAATTCACAAAAAAAAAATTATTAAATCCGCGAACTTCTTTTTTTAGTTTACAATTTTACCAAGAGAAAATTCTTGCCCATAGAGCCACAGTTTAAAGTTGAAAAAGGATATGGGCGTGAAGCGCCCTGAAAGCATAGTCTACCATATTTAAGTATAAACGGTTTAACTATGGTAGTAAATAAGCTACACCCACTTTTTCTCCGGCTCACAAATTACCTCTATGTGCAAGCATATCCTTGATTAAATCGCACCCCAAAAGGCGAAACTTTTTAAAATGATTTCATATTTGTAATGACTATATCAACATTTAGTTTTGTTCAAAGATATAATTTGTCAAAAAATAATCTTCTGCAAAAATGTTAAAATGATAAAAATATTATCTAAGAAATGAAGAATGATAAGGGAACCAGGGAACACAGTTGGGTGTTCCTATGGAAAATATACAATCAGAAAAAGATAAATACAATAAATTCTACAATAATAGAATTATTTAACTTGAATTTTACAGTGTAAAGCCATTCATACTTAATATGATAAGTTTTTTATGCTTTTTTAGTGACAGGATAGGGTGACAACATATATACACTCATCACAAGCAGTGTTTCGGATCCGGATCCGGATCCGGTCGGATCCGTATCATTTGGTCGGATCCGGATCCGTATCAGGAAACGTTGATATGGATCCGGGTAGCGCCAAAAATTAACCAAAACCATGGAATAAATAAATCAAAATGGTTCGTAAATGTATTATTTACATGACGAAAATTTTTCAAAATTATCTTTAATAATTTAATGTTTACATTTATATAATAGTAATGACGACATTTTTAACTTTAGGATTACTATAGTTTATAAATTATAACCTTGCATAACATTTAATAGGGAAAATCCGATTCACAGAATCAAAAGTTACCTCGGATCCGGATCCATCATCACGGATGCGGATCGCGAATCAAAATGATATGGATCCGAAACACTGATCACAAGAATATCTTACTCCTTCATGTTCATTTTTAATATGAATCATCAGATAACTTGCTGTAATGGTAGCGTATTCAAAATGAGAACAAGGATATCTCACTCCTTAGTGTTTAGAGTCAATATGCTTCTTTAGACGACATGCTGTAGAGGCAGTGTATACACATTGATCGCATGGATATCTCACTCCTTCATGTTTTAAATTTTTAATAAAAATCTAAAGAATAAAGGGATTGTAGTTGTAATTTCAAGTGACTCTGCATGAAAACTTAAGTCATGTCTGATTCACAACGTAACCTTTGAAAACTTAATCTAATCTAGAATGTGGAAGATAATGTCGTGCTTGTAATTTCTGCATCGTTTCTAAAGAAAGAAAGTTTGTAGAGAACCTTTAAATGAAAAAATCAGTTTTATTAAAGACAAAAAATGGGATATCAAATTAACTATTGGTCAAACAAAGCTTTTAAGTTGTGCACCAAAAATGCCACTCTATCAATTAAGAGTCACTACAAATTACTTGATTAGTGAAAAAATAATTAAATAGAAAAGTTATGAGTGCATGCATAGTATTATTATTATTTAACAAAATTGCTGGGGTTTTTTATTGGGCCCAGACAATTCCATCCATCAGCACCAACCCCTCTTAATTGCATCTTATTCAAACAACAATTAAAAAAGACGATTTTTTCACAAGTAGAAATTGCCAATCATTTTTAATGAAATTAACTAAAGCATGAAAAAAATAATTCTTAACAAACATTGATATGGGTGTTAAGAGATCCGCATGAAACTCTGAAGTTGCCATTAACAGAGAGTCCCAAAATATCAGTTTTTGGTCATATATTAAGAAATTTTGAAAAGTTTCAAACAAATTAACGGTATTTACTGGCTCCAGGTGCATCTTTTCATACCAAGAGCAATATGTTTTAAAGAATCGTTTATTTAACCAGTTACTTTTTTTGATTTTTATAAATTTTTAGTATCAATTGCAGTAACATTTTTTTTTTGACATTCTAAAAAAGTTGAAAATTAATCATCCCTAATGTTTTCGGACTTGCTCTCTGTATTCTCGAAGCCACTTGAAATCTTCCTTCTTATCAAAGGGTACGACCAGCTGGCAAGCTAAAAAAATATATTTGGTATAAAATGGAATTAAATTAAAAAATTTGCTGGAATCTTACCAATTTGGAGTCCCAAATCTCCAGCATTATGCTGCCTGGCTCCAGCTGGTATTTCAATCACCACCTTCTTTTTCCCAAACTCCATCCATTTCCCGAGCGATGTGTCCAACCTGAAATAACAGTTGTATAATGAGCTATAAATATGAAAAAGTAGGGGCAAAATTTAATGGTTACTAAACTTGAAGGAGGTTGTTAACAGATGAGAAAAGACCCTCTTTTTAATTCTGTTTGGTAAAAACAAATGTTCGCCTTTCTTCTTTGGTTCTACATATTTAGAGAATAAAAGGCGTACCATAACTTCCATTTAATGTTTTATAATTTTTGTTTCTATGATATTATGGGGGAAGGGAGATTTAGGGGAGCTTCTGTAACGAAAATTATGCAATTTTTTACCTTTCTTCGCCTTGAATCAAACACGGCTACACTGTATCTGTTCGGATTTTCGTTCATCCAAAACCAATCCAAAGAAACAGTCAATTGATCTCCAGGAGCCAATTTCTTTTTGTATACATGTAGACCACGGATGAATGTGTCCTGCTTAAGGGTTCCCATGTTTGTGTTTATTTCGTTGTCTGCTAGACATACATAAAAGTTTCAGTGTTTCAAAGTTTTATCTGTAAATACGATGTATTAATGTCGTCTTCCATAAAATACGAGCCCGTTAATAGTCTAATATGATAGGGGACACCCTGTATATAAAACATCTAACCGTACCTCGATTTTCTGTACTTCCCTCATCTACATCTTCTTTGATTTCTTCTTTGACTTCTTCTTTAATGGTAACTTTATCTTCTTCCATAATTTCTGCCATTCTCTCTGAAATGTGTACAATAGATGTAATAGTCTTATAGTAATGGCCCAGGAGAATTAGGGCGAAGCAAGGGGGCTATTGACCACAATTTTTTGTTTTTACCTGACCCATCTCATTTGATTCAGATTCAGGGTGCCAAAAAAATAATTCCGTCATTTTAGCTTAAAAGCAAAAAGACGGCATATTTCAAAGATGAGCAAAAACATTCATTATCACGTAATATCTTTAAACAAAACTATAGAAATTATTTAGATCTTTGTTAAGATGAGTTATTGGCAATTTCTTAAAAGCAACATTGCTGTTGATNAGTCCAGATACCCCACCAAAATCACTTTGATATGGTTATTAAATACAATTGGTTTCTTTATAACGACCATCCTACCGTAAATAAAACATTATTGAAAAATAATATTTATTTAAACTTCTATAGCTTTATTAATAAGATATTTATTCATATGTTAATTGATGTGGTATCATTTATCACACTCCTGATTTTTAACAGTCTCATTAATTTTCCAGACAGGGTCGACTTTGAAGTGCCGCGATGCCTTGGGATTAGATTTTACTGCTCTAACTCACTTGCTTTCTGTAGCCCTTTACATTTTAGCACTATAAAGCCCTTGTTTTTAGCTTTGGTTTTTAAGAAGTAATTAGCAATATTCTTATCGATTTTTGCTTGAGAGCAATAGACCTTTTAATCACAGTGTGCATCAGGTTGCAGAAATATAAGGATTAAAAATTAAAGTATGGGCAGATAAAAATAAATTTCTGCTCAGACAACGAGCTAAAGATTACCATTGGACCCATTCATGTAAATTCTAAATAAAGAGTCAATGAAAATGAATTGGAAAGTCCCTTAAAGAAATTATTCAGGATATGTTTAGGCTCCTTGTGACAGCTGATGAGGTTCCTCTGCTGACCCCTGGCGAGATCTGGTTAACCGACCTAGTGGCGCAACACGCCGGGTTAATTACAGTAGCTATATAGTGGGAAAAATTTAGTTGCAGTACATTTGGAAAAATTGCTGTACACCATACAGTATAGGGGTTATCTCAGGTGAAGTGCAGTGCACAGTGTACAACAATGGGTCATCTCAGTTGCTGTATGTGGAAAAAAACTTATATGTTGTACATTAAAGGAATATTTTAGTTGCTGTACATTACAGGCTACTTGATGTACTGTTTACATAACACACTACCTAATGTACTACACTGTATATTTGTATAAGTCACACACAAGATTTAGTAAAATTTTGAAATGATTAGGTTCTAGTTTCGTAGTTTACCATAGAAGAATCCTTCTTCATCAGCCTGTGGACGGCCGTTAATGCAATACATGTGCATCCCAGTTCTATTATGAATCAAAAATCTGGTAAATTATTGATCTAATGAACCAGGTAAGAAAAAAGAAAAAGATCCACGTCTCCAAGTATAGGTTCCAATTCTTTCTCCAGAGCAGATGAAAAAGCAAGAGCCACGTCTCGATAAAGCTAATCCAAACATTTAATACTTAGAATGTGGTTTACTCTAAGGAATATTTTCACCAAACTATTAATCTCTTACTTTAAAACTACATACGCCTCAACCGTCTCTGTCAGAAATCAAGTATAGTAAAGGTTTGGTTCCAGAGCTCACAGTCTCCGGGTGAAGGTGTACATCAACATCTCCAGAGCCCAAAACTTAAGACAGGGTATCGATCTGAAAACCAGTTTTAAAACCCGGGTTTCACGAATGGGGTTAGGCAATTTTGTAAATATCAATATTTTGGTTATGAAATATTCTTTTATTCAGTTTGTTTATATTCTCAATTTTTTTCAAATCTCTTAAATCAAAATCTACACAAATGTTAAGATATTTTTGTTATGAAAATATAATATTAGTTATTTATCGAATCTCTTAAATCAAAATCTACACAAATGTTAAGACCCCAAAAAGGAAACTCGGGAGTTTTGTCCAACGATACTCTTTTAAATTTCGGGCTCAGGCTTACTACAGGTTGGAACATCGTACACTGTTAATCTCGGGCTTTGAGTAGAGCAACGTCTTCAGGTTTCAGCCTTAACAATTCCCTGTATTTGCAAAGTAAGCCATCCGAACAGAGCTAAATGTTAATTTGATCTTACGTGAAATGGTTTGGTTGATTGATTGATTTGAGCCTTCTCCAACAGCTCAAACTAAGGTTTCTTGATCAACCGCATACTTTGGGTTAAACCGTCTCAATCAGTCTAAATACAGAGATTGCATTTTCCTTGGAAGTTTCAGAATTGTAAAAGAGTTAACATTAATTACATGGTAGGTAAGAAAGGAAGAACAAAAGGTTGAGAGACACACTCCGACCAGTAACATCATCCCGTCTCAGGTCAAGTGCTTCACCATGATGCTCTCCGCGTAAAACTCAACCTTGGCCTACATTACAGATTTTGTAACACTCATTGTGCTTTATTATAAAAGTTCGTTATTTATATACCTTATATTGTTCAGTGAAAACCGTGTCACTTCTTAAAAACATACATCATTTAGTTATAAAATTCTGGAATAAAAACTCAATTAGTAAGCGCTATGAGAGGTTTAAAAACTTGGTTTAGGTGTGGCACAGAATACAAGATATATTTTACATGACTATATTAAGTCTTTTAAATATTTAAAACATTGGTTTCTTTCTTTACTTTTAAATACTTCATTCTTTAAAATACCTTTCCTTGTGGAGTTTGTGCGACTGCTACGACTCAATCTCAATATTTAAGGAAGCACAAAAGTTCCATCAATAAGGCACGAAGATTAATATTTTTACAATATAAATATCACATAGAAAAGTATAATCCTCGTGAGGGAAAATTAATCTGGAGGGGCCAGGTTTTCATAATTTTCCCTATAGCTTAGTGACAGGTACAAGATTAGTGTCACTTCGTCTCAGGATCCGTCCTGCACTAATTTGTGTCCTTGTACTGAAGATGTAGGGACCGTTGAAGATTAGCTGAACGAGCATATAGAAACCTAAAAAATCTAGATATAGATGCGACATTCACACTCATAACAGGGATGACTCGGTCCTTCATGATTAAGTTCAATAAGTCTCTTCAGACCACTTGCTGTAGTGGCAGCATCTTCACATTGATCGCAAGGATATCTCACTCCTTTCAATACGTTCCTTCAGATTAGCTGCTTGAGTAGCAACGTATTCACAGTCAATACAAAGACTCCTTCATGTTTACTTCTAATATGCATCATCAAATTACTGGGTTGCGTTGCCACAAATTTAATTTTTCACAGGGATAAATGTTTTTGTCCAGAGACGACTTGACAACTTTATCTAAATTCAAGAAAGAATCCTGTATCAATTAGCATAAATAGTGCCTGATTATGATCAAGTGGTATGTAAAACTATAAACATTTTTTACACGAAAAAGAAAATATTTTGAGAAAAAAATTTGAATAGAAATTCATGTAATCTTTTATAATCTCTAGACATTTTTCAAAAAGAAGTATCGATTAACTCAGATATGTCAAAACAAACAAAATTTCCTCAAGAAATATCTCTCCAAATATCTTCCTTTCTGCGTAAGAAATGTTTAAAGTTTTAGTATAAATATTATAAACCACTTTATGAGTTCATATACGTTTCTCCGGTTTCCAAGGTGCCGTGACAAACTCCTGAAAGACAAACTCCTGAAAGACAAACTCCGGAAAGACAAACTCCTGAAAGACAAACTCCGGAAAGACAAACTCCGGAAAGACAAACTCCTGAAAGACAAACTCCTGACGAGACAAACTCCTGACGAGACAAACTCCTGAAAGACAAACTCCTGAAATTATGAAATTTTTCTCTGAATGAAATTTGATAAAATTCATAAACTTTAGAAGAAAAATTCGCAAATATTCTAGAAAAAATTCTCAATCTTTAGTTATTTGAATATGCTTCTAGCAGCAAAGTATTACAATGATCAGAATAACCAGCAAATTTATTATTATTTATTTTTTATAATTTAGGGTTAGGTTAGGTTGAGACACTTTCTGGGCCGAGCGCTGCGGCTAGGACAGGCTAGTGGGCCGAGCGCTGCGGCCATGGGTTAGGTTGGTTAAGACACTTTCTGGGCCGAGCGCTGCGGCTAGGACAGGCTAGAGGGCCGAGCGCTGCGGCCATGGGTTAGGTTAAGTGTTGACACTTTCTGGGCCGAGCGCGATATTATGGATCTATACAGGATGTTTCACGAAACATGACAATTGATTAATAATTTTGAAGGTCTTCTTCCATATACTGTATTGATTTAAGAAGACTTTTTGCTGTTTTTTTAATAAATCTTTTACTGAACTATACTTTTATTAAAAATCATGTTTACAATAATATGCCTGCCTAACAATATTTTATGTTATTCTCTTATATCAAACAGCTTTACAAATTATGGAAGACAAGAATCTATTCACCAACTGTCATGTTTCGTGGAACACATGTACAAAATCATTTGTTATCCAAAGAAGTCCATTGAACTTGAAAACCTTGAAAAATAACACAATTTCCGTACCATAAAGAAGAAATTCAAATGCAGAGGATCTAAATCTTAAGTACTTAGTAAATGAACCCAGGTTTTGTAGATACAGAAGATAGTATTTAATTAGGGTTAGGTAGACACTTTTCTGGGCCGAGCGCTGCAGCCACGGGTAAGGTTAAGCTATGACGCTTTCTGGGCCGATAGCTGTGGCTTGGACAGTCTACGCCGAGCGCTACGGCCACACCGGTTGCCAGTTCTACAAAATTCATTCCCCCTATTTCAGTTTTAGAATTTTACGGGACATACACTCAACATAAGGCAAATATCAAAGATTCCTTCACCCAGAAGGGCTTGTGATAACATACTCGCATCTGTCAAAAATCTTTTGAACACCTCACTAGCTTGGTGATGCGGTACATCATATAAATATGCTTATCAAATAAGATTATTCAAATAAACTTCCTCTTTCAGAAGGGACCAAAAGCAATGAAAAATCGAACACATGTTCTTAAAACAACATACTATCTCAATCTCTCCCATCACAATTACTTGAAGAAATACATTTATTTCTGTTTAAAATATACACCATTTTTCATATATAACTAGAAGTCCAGTTATTTTCATATTTAGGCAAGGTACAAAATGGGATAAAAACAGGCAGTAAATAATAGGAAGATCTCAGTTAATGGTAAGAACAGGAAAGGTTATTCAGGAAAAAAATTTGATAACGAACAGGATGAATTCGAGGGAAATGGAAATTGGAAACAGGAGACAAGAAAGTTCGGTTAACCCACGACCGCAACATTACCTGAACAAGAAAGTAAAATTTAAAAAATTCAGACAATTGATTTTAAATATTTAATTAGTTATTAAAAAAAAATTTAATGAAAATAATTGTAACAATCAGCGACAACCGAGACAGCATAATGGCTCAACCCCGGTGCGAGCTAATGTCTTTCTTTTCAGAGATTTAATCTACGAACTTTCAGCACCAACACTACATATAGGCCAGCGACAGTGACTCAAAGCTCGATTTATTAAAATTCATTAATTTCTACCTGAAGAATGTGTTTCTTCTTTGTCCAATAGAAGGAATCACTCCTGAAAAATATTGGACTAAAAAAAGGCAGAAAACTCGAGCACTGCAGTTCCTTTCTTCAAATGCTCAGTTATTAATGAAAAGTTTCTTCAATTATTTTCAGTTGGGAAAAGAAGACACATTTAAATAATCATCATTTTAAGTACAAAAACATAAATCAAATTCAGAAGTATTTATACCTGCAATTTATTAGAATCAGACTTCTCATTCAATCCTCATTCCATTTCCCACTGAAGTATTAAACACTCATTTTAAGCTAACTAAGATTTACCAATTGATGAAGGTTAATTAAATCTCAGGCAGAATTCTGATATTTTGAAATCATTTAGATTTTATCCATCCAAGTAGAAATTTTAATCACCGAAAATAAATAATAAAAAGTTCTAATTGTAATAATATTTACCGTGAAATGATGCTGCAAATCTTCTATTTCTTTCATTCATCAGCATGTTGTTTAATCATGATTTAGTCAAGGATAGAATAATTTAATATCATCTGAACAATGTATAAATTTTCAGTTGACAAAATTTTACCTGCAGAATATATTCGCCATGTTCCGTTGCCGGATCCTCATTAAGCACCAGAAAATATCTTAACAAAAATAACATTATCTCAGAATTATGTTAGAAGTGAGTGCAATGAAAGAAGAGGCATAATTGTCATCAGCATTAAGTTTTAATCATATAAAGGTCAATGATAGTGTCGTTGATATCATCTGAAATAATTGAACTAGAATTGAGAAGATTATTACCAGTTTAGTGAGCAGAATTCAACCAATGCATTTCAGGATCTTATCGCAATCTGAATAGAAATTCATGAGTTCAATTAACATTTAGATTTGTATAAGTTAGTATAGTTCGTTATTCAGCAAGGTTGAGTGTCTTCAATATTATCAGAATTACGTCCCTTAAAGTCATCACTATGAAGTGTCAAGCAGAAAAGAATCATTGCGCTTACCTCTACATAGAGCGAGACATACTGAGGGTTGAACCAAGAACTCCAATGCCACCTAAAAATGATAATTAGTATTGGTTGGCAACTATGACCTTTATGTATTAAAATAAAATTAATTGTTTCTAAGATTAAGTATCTCCCCTAGTATACCGTAGGGCAGGGTTGCAATACAAAGATATATTTTAGCATTTATTTTTCATAAGAAAAAACAAGGTTGGATCCATGTGTGGGAAGAACCTTGAGCCAGTAATGCATGTTTTACTGGCATCGAGATTAAATTACCTTTCTTCCTTCAGAGGTTGCTCAGCATCCAAGTGTACTTTCATCCTTCAGAGGCTGCTCAGCATACAAGTGTACTTTCTTCCTTCAGAGGTTGCTTAGCATACAAGTGTATATCCAGAGACGGATTGACCCTAGATACATTAAAAATTAATCAGCTTTTAATGAATGTAAGATAGTATGTAATCGGAAATACTTCAGTGGTAGTGACGAGGAATAAAACCCATCATTTTGTCATTTTCCATGAGTATACATCATTTAGAGAAAAGTAGCCTTCATCTATTTTCTCTTACCTTAATCAAGTAAACCAAGTCCAACCTCTTTTGCCGATATGTGTACAGTGAAACTTGCCCATCTGAACAAAAAAACAATTAGGTTTGAAATAGTAGTTTTAAAGAATAAGACTTTCATTGATATATTATCAGTTGGTTGATCCGTTTGATGTCCACATTATTGGTTAAGACAGCCAAGGGTTTATCATCAGAAAAATTAAGAAATTCAATAATTAAGCATTTAATATGAAAATTAACACTCTTATCATAGCTTTGAACACTAACAAAAGTAAGAATCATTCTTACCTCGACTTAATCCTCAATGGATATCAGATCTTAAGAAATGGCTTGCCTAAAAATATAATACCATAAAATTGAGAATAATATCCGATTTGATCAAACTGAAATGACACATCAGTTGGTTGATCCATTTATTGTCCACATTATTGGTTAAGACAGCCAAGGGTTTATCATCATACAAATTCTAATAAAATTTAAGTTCAGATTCAAGTCATATTTCGCAGTTTTAAATCTTCACCTGTGGTTTAAATCCAGTCACCACTATTGTTTCCTTTTTTCATCCACTTCCTAAATCAAATTAAATATATATTCAACAATATTAAATTTCAAACATTCTTTATAGGGAACAATTAATGATCTGTACTAGCAGTTTCAAAGGGCAATTGTATAAGCAATTGTCCAAGCGACCAACTAGAATTACTTTTTCATAACGTAAACACAGAATATGCATAGAACCATACTTGATGCCTGGTTATGAAAATAAGGTTTAACAATGTGACCCAAAGACAGCTCAGCAAATGAAGTAAGGGATTAAAACTTGGCAGTCTGATACCAATAGTAGACAATGATTTAGGTGTTTATAAATCTTACCTTTTAAAGTAGAACTGGATGAGAACAGTCTAGAACAGGACTCAACTCTGAAGTATTTAATATTACAGTCTGTAGGATATTTATTATTAGTTGAACAATTGACATTAACTTTCAGTCCTATCGATCCATAATTGGTTGCCATCACATTAATTCTGGACAGTATTGGTCATCATTTATTTTTTATCAGATAGTGCTCATGAGAAGTAAGTTCTTACCTAAGAGGATGAAATGTCCAACCGTCAGTAATTATTCGCTGTATTAAGTTCTTTATCTTCTATAAAAAAAAATTATTATTAAATAAAAACTAGAACATAGAAGGCATTGAGTGCGATGCGACGATTCAGACATCCTGAGTAATATCATTAGAATCAGGCATATGCTTGTCTAATTTGTTATCATCATTCAATTTTTCAACGATGAATGTGAGCAATTCTCACCTGTCAGTGAACGTTAAGAAATCCAGATTCCAGATCTCTGGCTCTGTCCTGAATTATAAAAAAATACAACCCAGTCCAAACAATGCCAACATAATTGTTTAATGTTAAGAATCAGCGATCTTGGTGGTATACTGTCGTCATTCAGCAGTCAAGAGTAGCAAATAACATGTCATCATTTATCATGATTATAGCTGTCAGTAGTTCGAGATAATTACCTTTAGGAAATCAAGGTTTGGAGAGGGTTTACATCAGCACTGTACAGGGCATTTCTGAACGAAATGACAATTCAGTAAACAAATTCAATAAGACCAGAGGTAAAACTGGCAATTGTTTTCAGTGAGAGAGTTAAGAAAGTTGTCAACGTTTAGTTCAGGTGTACAATTAATTCATCATTTTTAAAAAAACAAACACATTTTTATTATTTACCTGCAGTATTTTATTTATGATTATAATCTACATTTGAGTACACGTTGCATTTCATCAATCCTAAAATATTATTTAAATGCAAGTTATACAAGTTAATCCACTAAAACATAAAAATTAAGATTAACATAATTAGGGAGTGTAGCTAGCATGGTTTATCCCTCTGGTCACTGCCACATAGTGACTACAGAGAACCTAGGAATATGCTAGCTCCCGGTCTACCTTGAGACCCGGCCTAAGCCAGGTATCAGGGACCAGGATACTATTAGACTCTGTGGAAGGGGAAATAGATCGTATTATCCACGATTTCCGGCCACGAAGGTACTCGCCACCGAACCGAAGTTTAGCATCGAGTACCAAGAGTCTAATTGATAAATCTTAATTGTAAATATGAATTCAATGTATCCTGACTTTCCCGGGATATCCTCATTAGGGGAAGATATCCTTCAACTTGCAAGAAGTTTATCTAGCTTACACATGCTGTCCACTACATTATAAGTAAAGCAGTGGACTATTAGGTGCTGCAGAATAAATTTATATGAAGGTCTACCTTTGTAAAAAAATGAATTACAGATGCATTCCAGAAACCACTTCTTATCACCAACCTGAAAATTTCAAATTGAAAAACTGCATTTTTAAAACTTTCAAGATAGTAAAAGAAAAAGGATCAGAGCCAAGTTTCATCTTATCCGGGTATGTTGTTCTGTGCAGGATAAAAAGAATTAGAGAACCTAATTCAATTCAATCCTTGCATTGATTCTCAGACAGGAGAATCAACAGCCCTAGTACCCAATCCGAGAATGGATTGGAAGGTTCATCAAGTGAAATTTAATAGGTTTAGATAAAAATATTTTAAATTTTCACCTTATCAAGCTCTTTTTAGATTACAGCTTGTCGAACCCGGCCATCATCAGAGATCTGAAAAATAAAAAATTAAGATAAACACGTTAACAATATCAAGAAAAATCTGATAAAAGTATTAAAATCAGTTGGCCGTTCTTTGTAATCATTACTTTCAGGCGAAAGATGGTGATTGAATAACTCATCATGGTAAAATAATGCGAAGATTAAAATGAAATTTTACAGGAGTGTATAAATACTCCTATAGGCTGACAAATTAGTCGCACCAAACCAAATTTAAAAATTAGCCTGCATCCTTAAAAGGGAGGGAGGGTAAATCTTTAAATCTTTACCTTCTTACTTGCCACAAACCCTAGGATTGCAAGATACGAACAATCAAAAACGACATTAAAATAAAACCCAAGTTAATTTTCTGTCAGTTTATTTTCAGTAACTTAACAAGAAAGTTGCGAAATCGCGAAATGAATAATCATTGCGCTCAGTACTGCCTCTGTTCCTGTCTCTGGCTAGCCAGGGGTTTGTGGTTCTTTGAGAGGAAGTCAGTGTGCTCCTGGTAGGGAGACTTGGAGAACACGGTCTCCTTCCACAGGTCAGGGGTGAGGAAGGAATAGGTCCTAGCAATAGCTGCGTAGGTGGCCTTGGCTGAAATATAACATATGTTACTAAGTTTTGTTTGATTTGATCAATTTAATGTTTAATGTTTATACTTGAAATAATTCAGGACACAAGTTGGCAGCAGTTTTGTCTCAGAAGACCGTCGTGTAAAAATCTCATCATTTGGAAGATTAAATTTTAAGCACAGTTCACTTTTGAAACATTTAATATCAGAGGTTTCAGCGGATCAGTAACTTTTTGCTTTGTAAACTTTCGCCTAAAACGTCATTAAGTTCCAAGTTCACATTCGCCCATGTAACAATTTGCCTGAATCAGTGTGTCCGTAAATCGTTTAGCCTATTGAACAGTTTGCCTGTCTAACAAATGTTTGTTCATTTAAACAAATATTTTTTTGCGACTCAAGACCTTTGAATATGACTGCAGTACAAGATTTGATAGAACTTATAATTAATTTAAATGTGCCAAAGAGTCAAGGAATGCTCTAGAAGACTAAACATCACTGAAATCTCTTACTACCGTGCATCGGATAAAAATATTTTGAGACGATTCTAATGCAGTACATACAAGTTAATATAAAATGAGCAGGGCAGCCAGGTCTTTATCTATCATTCTTTGCAGACAAATATGATGCATATGTTAACGAGAATGATTAATCCTGGCTAGGAAGGACAAAAAACACTTTAAAGTTTTGTAGGCAAAAACACACTTGCAAAAACCTACTAGGCGAATGTGCACTAACAGAATGTGTACTATACAAAAGATTACCGACCTATTTCATAAGTCTAACTAATGTGCTTACCAAAGTTTCCAAGGGTACCAGTGGAACCCTTTGCAGAGGTGTAGCAATCCTCGATACCAGCCATCTGGAGCAGCTTCTTTGGAACTGGGGCAGAGACGATTCCTGTTCCACGGGGGGCAGGGATCAAACGCACCCAGATAGAACCGCACTTTCCGGTAACCTACAACAATGTTCATTTGAAGTTTTGTATGTAAAATAAAAGTAATGTCTACTGTGAGACTTTTTATGTTAGTCAGTTTTAACGGCACATGAACAGCAATACGTGCAGACATGCTTCCTGAAGACAATTTACTATCCCTCCCAAGTATTATTTGGCACTCTCAGCATCAATATCTAATGCTGTAGCGTGGCTTCGAGGTAAAAAGGCTTAACAATCCTGATTTCAGCAACACCCCCCCCTCTTCATATGGTATTTCAATAGTTAATAGTTGCAGAAAACATGTTGGTTGGTTTAACGGCACAGGACAGTAATATATTCAGAAAGTATTATTTGGCCCTCTCGGCATCAATTCTAATGCTTCAGCACCCACCCCCCACCTCCCACACATTTTTCATATGGTAAATGCAATAGTTAAAGAAACCCCGAATTTTAGAAGAAAAATATGTTTGTCAGTTAAACGGCACATGAACAGCAATATATACAGACATGCTTCCTAAAGACAATTTACTTTCCCTCCCAAGTATAATTTGGCACTCTCAGCATCAATATCTAATGCTGTAGCGTGGCTTCGAGGTAAAAAACCCTAAATTAAGCACCCTCCATCATGCCAACGGCCAATATGCTATTACCTTAGAGGGGACGGTATGGGGTTTACCGATTTTGTTACCCCAGAATCCTCTCCTCACAGGAACGATGGAAAGCTTGGCCAGGATAATGGCACCACGGATTGCAGTAGCAACCTCCTTGCTGCACTTGACACCCAGACCAACGTGACCGTTATAATCACCAATAGCTGAAATAAAGTTTAAATTAGGTAAGGGAAACCAAGGATGTGATTTTGTTGGTTATTGAGCAGAAGACTATCAGTTGGCCGTTCTTTGTAATCATTGCTTTCAGGCGAAAGATGGTGATTGAATGACTCATCATATTTAATATTAATTGAACCAGGAAACCTATTAACATTAATTTTTTGTTCAGTTAGTCAATAATTTACCTACGAAAGCCTTGAACCTAGTCCTCTGACCGGCACGGGTCTGCTTCTGAACGGGCATGATCTTGAGTACCTCGTCCTTGAGTGCGGGGCCGAGGAAATGATCAATGATCTCAAACTCTTTGATGGGGAGAGAGAAAAGATAAATCTCCTCCAAAGACTTAATCTTTCCATCTTTTACAAGACGTCCAAGCTTTGTCACTGGGACCCATTCCTTATCCTCTTTGCCACCACGACCTCCACGGCCGCGTCCACGACCGCGACCACGTCCTCCACGATCCCCACGGCCTCTGTCACCTCCACGGCCACGTCCTCTATCTCCGAATCCACCTCTGAAACCACCACGATCGGCAGGAGCTGCGTCCGCCATTCTGCAACAAATATTAAACTTAAATTTTGCGTAGTACGTTAAACTGTTTTAGTTATTTGTCAGTTGTCATTGCTAACATGCGAAATAGAAATTACCAGTGGTAATTTCCTAGAGAAATATTTTTAGACCCCGCCTCCCTATCGATTTTGTACACGGATCTTAAATTTAAGACATATGGCCTCAGCGCTCGACCCCTAGCCTGTCCTAGCCGCAGCGCTTGGCCCAGAAAGTTTCGACCTAACCTAACCCTAAAATACTACAAAATGACTGAAAATCAAAGGTCATGAATAAAAATAATAGAACGGGGGGNCCACACTCCAATCAATTTGGTACAAGATTTCCACAGTCAGAAATGAACAGAACTAAGCTTTAGTAACAAAAAACTACTTTAAAACCGTATGGAACCATGAGCTTTGTAGATTTTCGAACCAAATAAAGTAAGTACATTACTGGACTCGGCAACAACAAACTAATATGTACTCCGGAGAATTATACCAAAATCGTCAACATAAACACATCGTTAGATAGTTCTTTATTAATACATCCTACTTGTTCATTAACACATACACCGAAAAACGCTATTTAAACCAACACCAGAAAATATTTGTTCAGAATCCTTAATCAACACTAATTTAATCTTAAAATTGTATTATTAAAACCAGTCGATTGTTAACGAATTATAAATATTGAAAACCATTGTGTACCTGATCTGTCCTGATTTATAACCGGAAGGTAGAGGTGCGGTGCACGAGCCTTTATATAGTCTTAAAGTTTAGAACCCAAAGAAAGCCGAATATTCAAGTCTAGAACCCAAACGCCGTGCCCTGCAATGCAACACGTGAAATTTGGCCGCTGATTTCACATCAAACCTGGAATAGATATAGACAAATTTGCTACGTCGATGTTGAGAAAGAAAAAATATAGAATTTTCAATTCTTAAAGCTTTCAAACTTTTATTCGTTTTAAGTTGAAACCAATTTTCAAATATATACAATGTCGTCTTTGATAAATCTTTTTCCGGTTTTGTAAGAATTTAGAGATTTGATTAAAAATATTTATTAGGGGTTTTTAATTGCAGCTTACGGACCATTGACACCATGATGAGCATAACACCGTAAAAAAAACATACAAGCTCGTTAAATATATAGTTCATGACTCGGCCGGACAAAATTATTTTGGCGGCGCCATCTCTATAAAATATATTAAAATTTAAGCAATCACTCGGATAGAATATAAAGGCATCTTAAATGAAACAAGATCTGAAATAAAGT